AACCTGGAGGAGCTGCTCACTGCTGGGTCCGGGTGTTTGATGCTGCAGGTCGAAACAAGTTAACCGAAGGGAATTTGGCCTTCAACTCCCACACTGACTCAGCTCGCCTCCCCTGAAACGCCTCAGAGCTTTCAGAGATTTTAGAGACGAGTCATGGAAGAGTCCTGGAGGTGAGAGGAGCTGGTGGGTTGCTGGTTTGAATCCCCCGACAGACTGGGAGTTCTGGATGGAGCAGCGGCTCTTTGTCACTCGTTTAGCTCCTTGGGTGGTGTCAGGATTTAGTAAATCTTCATGTCGTTTTCATGGTCTGATTGTAAAGTATTGGATAGTGTCATTGATTCTTTTTCATAGGGAAGAGCACGCTGGGCATGTGACGTGTGAATGAGGCCACAAATCTCTAATTGATTATCTGGCTCACAGGCTTTACTGTAGTAGTAGCAGCTTTGTGTCCGATACAGATGTTTACAGGCTGCTGGACGTTAATCAAACGTCACAAAAACTATTTCCTTTTTTTGTTCTTCACAGATCAACAGTGACCTGCCACACTGACATCACACAGCTCCTCCATACTGTTGCTGTTTAGGTTGTTAATCAGACGTGAGTTGTTTTCTGAACAAGTCTTTGCATGATAATGGATAGTGTTGAATAAAGTTATATTTCCCACCATATGCAATATTAAGAAAAATAATTATCTGAAACATAAATTACAATAATACAATTATGTATTATAAAAAACCTGAAACATAATATAGTCTAAACACATATTTTTCATAATATCAAGAAAATGATCTACAATAATACAATTATGTATTATTAAACAAATGATAATTAATTAAAACATAATATCATAATATACAACAGCATAATTATATTCTTCATTATGATATCGTATATCGTGACAGTTCTGCTGGACTGTATCGAGTTAAATATATCTGTGACTATACTGCAGATGTGTCAGTGAGGCCAGGGCAGCAGTGTGTGTGTGTGTGTGTGTGTGTGTGTGTGTGTGTGTGTATGTGTGCGTGCGTGCATGTGTGTGTCTGTCTCATGGTGTAAATGACCTTAGGCCTGTGTGACCACTTGTGTCACCTCACATGACATCATGTGTCGACACAGTCAAATGTAACCTGACAGATGTGTGTCTGTGAGATCGATGTGCCCTTAATGCCTCCCTCTCTCTGACTGTGTGTGTGTGTGTGTGTGTGTGTGTGTGTGTGTGTGTGTGTGTGTGTGTGTGTGTCTAATGTTTTGCAGTATGAGTGTTTTTCATTAAGGTTGTTGCAGCATTCACCACATTACCATTTCCAGTGTATTATTGTAGAAGTTATAGAGATGTGATGGTATTACACACACACACACACACACACACACACACACACACACACACACACACACACACACACACACACACTGCCAGTAACAGCCGTGTGTTTGCAGCCAGCAGTTGAGTCAGACTGCTGCTGCTGTTTGCTCGGAGGATGAAAGCAGGACTGACTGGCTCATTGTTTCTCAACCACACGGTTTTAAATAGCACTTCCTGTGAATGCGTGACCCATGATGCAACGCTGCCTGTGCCGCTGATGCTCAGACACAGCTGCGATCGATCGACCACGTTTCACTGTTTACTGACAGCAGCTCAGCCGCAGGTTGTTCAGTCAGGTCTGTGTGGAGCTCAGACTTTGGTCTTTGGTGTAACATCATCTGCTGGTTACAGTCAAATACAGATCAGAGGAGCAGTGTCAAATCTCCAGACATTGATTCTTCTTTGAACTATTTCTCACCTGTGTTTTCATGGTGAAGTTCTGGAGAGATCTCGTGTTTTGAAGCTGTTAACTCTCTCTCCTCCTTCAGCCTTAAAGATATTATTTGTTACCATGATAATCCAAATGATGGGGCTGTTGAATATCTAATTAATTTCATAATTCTAATTGATTCTTTATCCACATACAGAAATTTGACAAATCAAATCCAAATTTTTGCCCTTTTTCTCCTTGAACTAAATTCTTTTATCAAATCAATCGGTTTAATAAACAACAAAAAGATTAATAAGCTTTTGAAAATTATGGAAACTTTCTCCCTTTTACTTCCGACTGAATAATTAATTGTTTGTGTATTTATTCATGTAGCCTTGTGTTATTTTATTTTATTTTATTTTATTTATTAGTTTTCTTAACCTAATGAGTATGATTTAATTGAGATATACGTGTATATATATCTCATCACAATCTGTCTGATTTACATGTTGTGTTTTATTGAACTTCATAGATTGTGTTTAAAGCAGAAATGGATGTAAATGGATGCGACCCATGAACGCAGCTTCTTTACTAGAGATCCCCCTGGTGGTTCATGTGTTTATTTAGTGACCAGAAATCCACTTCTAATAGAGCTGCTGAGTGGGAGGAGCTATATCAGGTATCCCTGGTTGTGGAGGTAGAAGTCCCATTCATTGTTCCCATAGCAACGTTACCTGACTCCTGGTTGAATCATCAGTATAAAACATGTTGCTGTTGATCTCGACTCTTTGATAAAAGAATCTGAGGTTCAGGTCTAACTACAACTCCCAAGGTGCATTTTGACCAGAAACATCCAACCACAGCCTCATATTCTGTTATGTGTGTCACCGATGGCAGACAGAAGCTAAGGTTTACACTGCAGCTAATAATTATTTTCATTATCGATTAATCTCCTGATTATTCCTTTTATTAATTAAAGGTTTTCAGTTTATTATCATATAAATAATAAAGTAGAAACAGTACATATTAAAAGAATTACTAAAATTAATTTCTCTTGCAGATTAATCGATTGATTGAAAAACTAATTTACTTTGTGATTCTGGGTCAGTTTTGGATGAATTCAGTAACCATGGTGACGAAGCATTTTGAGCTGTCAGAGCCTCTCTCTGATTCTTCTCCATGGCAACGGTGGCCGAGGCTCGTGGGTGTTGCAGTTTTTAGACCCACGCACCAGGACAGACGAAACAGGATTCCTCAGGTCAGAACATAAACCTGTGGGGCTGAAGTGTGAATTCACAACTCGACTTCTACCCTGAAAACTTCCTGTCAAGGTTCCAGCTGCAGAACCAGCTTTGAGACCTTTAGACATGTTTGAAGGTTCTTTTTAAATCTTCTGATTAATATTTTGTTTAATGTGATTTTCCCACATAAAAAGTGGAATAAAAGCTCATCTACTCTTACTTCCTGGTTGAGAAATGTGGATCAGGCCTTGAGCCCCGCCCACCACCTGCTGGCTCCAGGTGGACAGGTGAAAGAGCAGAGAGCATCAAGATGGTGAGAGGAGGAAACATCAGAGAGACTCAGCCACATGTTTGAGCCTCAGTCAGACCCAGACTCAGAGGAGGAGTCTGAGACCAGAACCAGAGACTAGCATACGGGTCAGAACCGTTAGCTAGTTAGCAACTTTTATTTATGTTGTTTGTTAGCTTGTTAGCTTTGTTAGCCACTTGCCCTGTATAGCCAATCTGCAGATTACTAAATATCCGGTTTAGGCCAGGTGACTTCCTGTCTTCCTCTCATTCGTTGCTGGCTGGTCGCCGTGATTGAACGACGTTATCTTTTGGTCTTTTTGTAAACTTTCTACACTCAACAGTGAGGTGTATTTGCAGAATGTGGCTAAAATGTCATTAAATAGCTTCTGCTAGCATAACGATTAGCCTTAGCTTGACTTCGTCTTGGTGCTAGTTAGCTTCGTAGCAGCTATGCAAAACTCCCATAGGAAAACTGCAGATTTAAGGTCCTGAGATCATCATGTAGTAAGCACTGAAACTAGTGTAGGGCTTTATTTGGCTGACACAGTGTTAGCGGCTGTGCTAATGCTAACTGTCTGTGTATTTGTGTATTTAGCCCCCCCTCCCATCGCCACCAGTTGACAGGATGTGTTCCTTAGGTCTGTGACGTATGAAAGCCTGGCTGTCTGACATGTCCATTGTCTGTCCGTGTTGTAATGTCTGTCCATTCAGTCAGTCTGCAGTGTAAAACATGTTGAGTGAGGGCGAGGACACGTCTGTCTGTTTCCAGGAGCGATACAGTGTTGATTCTTGGATTTTAATTTAAAAAAATCCACCCACAGCTTCTCTGTGATTGTTTCCACCAGAGGAAATGAACTCCTCTCCTCCTCCAACAAACTAATCGTGTCTCGAGTTCAGCCTCGGCAGAACAATGTGGAATAATGGGCCCTGACATTTCTTGGCCTTATTTGGCCGCAGCTGATACGACTCCAGTTCATGTTGTTGTGGAGCTGCAGCGGCAGGATGTGATGTCATCAGTCCTGGCCTTCAGCATGTGACCTCTGCCCCCTTCTGCCAAACACTCGCTTCCCTGAGCCTGACCGCAGTTGTGCTGAAACACACTCAGCTGTCAGTTTATTAGGAACACCCAGCTACACTAATGCAGCCTAATCCCAAACTGTTGTAGAGAAGTGTCAATTGAACTTCATGATGTCACCTGTTATTTTCTGTTAGCTTCTCTGAAACAGTCCCAACACAAACAGATCATTACAACCTTCATGAAGGAGGATTTATCACAGGACAGTGACGTCACAACCTGATGATGAAGACCAGAAATCACTGCCTCACTCACTCTGACACTGAGTGTTTGACTTTAATGAGCAGTAAATCACTTATTTAGTAAATTATCATCATTTTATGTCCTTGCTGCCAAACAAAGCCGAGCTGATCCGACAGTCACAACATCAGAGCAGGTGGAAGTATTTCAGCTTCTTCACAGCAGATGGTAAAATGACCATAAAGTCTACAGCAGATCTGAGGACTCTTCTTCCACTGAATGTTCTGCTTTCAAATGAATTTGAACTCATAATTAGTTTGAAATCATTGGAAGTTAAGTTTTTGAAAAAGTGACAGAGGTCTGGAACCAGACCGTTAGTTTTTCTTTTCTATGTTATTTAAAAAACAACCTTTTATTCAAGTAGATGAATCTGTATTTCTGATATCATTCATTGATTTTTTTTTCTTCCTGTGTTTTCAGATCTGTCAAAGAACCGACTGGCCGACGTCCCCTCAGAGGTCTGCAACCTGGTTGCCTTGGAAACACTAAACCTGTATCACAACTGCATCAGGACCATCCCAGACAGCATCATCAGCCTGCAGTCGCTCACCTCCTTCATTATCAGGTACACACACACACACACACACACACACTTGGTGACTAGGCTGTTGCATTCTGGGTAGGAAGCAGCTGTGTTGTTGCGTGTGAGTCTGTCTTGTTCTTTATCTCTGAAACAGAAGTTTCTAAACTGATGCAGATCTCACATGCAGGAGTTTACCAGTAGTAATCTGTTACCGTGGTCACCAGACAGGAAGCAGCTCTCTGATCCCGACCTGTTGTGTCAGCTTCTTCCAGGAGCTCCAGAGTTTTGTTCAGAGTCTCAGACACACATGAAAAACAAGTTAGGAATAATTGAACCCAGAGCTTCCACACTTCACCTGCATGTTGTTATTCCCTCCGAGCCTGTGACACTCTGACTTCAGGGCGTCTGTTCTCATACAGTATAAACAACAACACAGAGGATCTGTTCAGTGTGAAGTCAGTTTCATTTTCACACCGTCTCTGGTTCCTTCTCAGTGTGAGAATTTGCTGCTTTTCTTAGTTTTCTGTCGCTGTAAACGGAACATGTTCTCTGATCATCTCAGCTAAAAGCCTCAGGGTTGTGCTAGCTTAGCTTTAGCATGTTGAAATAACTGGGAGTGTATCAGCTGATCACTCTCTGTTTTACCTGTGATTAGAACCAGTTCATGTGTTTCTGTGCAGGAAACGTCTGCAGAGGTTATTCAGCGTTATAAATGATTAATCAGTTAAATTAAAGAATAATCAGCAGATGAATCCACAATGAAAATAATCGTTAGTTTCAGCTCAGTCACTGGAACAGAACAGAAGATATTTTCATTTATTACAACAAAGGTTTTATTTTTGTAATTTTAATGACCTTTGTAAGAACAATGTGAGAATCAGCCATGAAAACCAGATTAATTAGATTTTAATTTATCAACCAAATGTCAAGTTGTCTATGTTGCTGTATCAGTGTGTGTGTGTGTGTGTGTGTGTGTGTGTGTGTCTGAACGCAGCATCAGACTGAACAAAGCTAAAATAAAACACTGTCATTGTCCTTTACTGTGAGCAGACTGTGTTATTGTGTGTCGGCTTACGGTCGCAGCGTTTCCACTGTCTGAGCTGCTGCTACTACTGTGAGTCACTGCAGGTGTGTGTGTGTGTGTGTGTGTGGTGTCCCATTGATGCTGCAGGGTGAGCTGCAGAGCTTGCCAAGTGTCAGCACACACAGCACGGGTGCAGTGTACTGTTAGTTAACAACACACACACACACACACACCCCTCTGGGGCTGACCTTCACACACACTGTGTCGGTGTCTGTCACGCTGTGTTTAAAGGTTGAGGTATTCCGTCTCTCTCTGCAGGTGAATGAAACTTCCTGTGACTCAGATCAGTTTTAAAGGACAGAATACACTCAAAACAATTACCAATTAAACTTAATCCGCAACTATTCTGATTATTGAATAATTATTTATAGATCCATATTTTCTTCTTCTTCTGTGTTTTATTTGAAGTGCTGATCCATCAGAAAATTAATTTGTTTTAAGAACCAAAACCCATCTCAGTGTAGTTTTACATCTCCTCTCTCAGGCTTCTCTCTGGAGCTCTAGTAACAACAGGACTGTGAGCCAATCAGAAGAGAGGAGGCTCTGAATCCAGGTTCAAGGAACGTGAACTTTATTTGTTTGACACATTTCAAGCAAAGACACATCACAGAGAGCTTCACAACACATGATTAAAAACCATGTTTGGTCTAAAAATAAACCTTAAAGAAAAAGTAAAATGTTTGAAAAAATGATATAAATAGCAGAAATAAAAAATGAGGAGCTGAAGGTCGGATTCAGTCAATCAGCTGATGAGCTGTGACAGATATGACACAGCAGGGCTACACACACACACACACACACACACACACACACACACACACACACACACACACACAGTCATGGTACTGTTAGTGAGTAAATTAGTAATTTTAATAATCAGTTTAATTAGGCTTTAAATGCTGATTTTGCAGGACAACAATTTAAATGCATGGAGCACATGAACATAAAAGGCTGAGAGTGTGTGTGCGTGTGTGTGAGTGTGCACGTGTGTGATGTTCCTAAACATTATAGACAGCAGGTCTTTACATCTCACCACAGAGAGGGAAGCTAATCACATTTGAATTTTAAGCTCTGATACATGCACACAAAAACACACACACACACACATGCACACACAGACACAGACTCTGTCCTGTCAGAACAGGAAGGACGCTCTCTCTTCCTCTACAGGAATAATGTGGTTTATTTTTAGTGTCTTTAAAGTCAAAGAGTCTGAAACAGAGAAGTTTTCATTTTTCATTCTTTGTGTTAAAATTGTGTTCAAGTTTTTCACGTTTAATCGATGCTTTGTCGCATCACCAGCTGGCTGTTGTACATGTAGATTACCTCTGAGCTGGTTCACTTTGGTCAGTTACATGACATTATTTTACATGTTGGTTCTGAGACAAACCGCAGCTCTGCCTCAGACGCCCAGCTGAGTCAGCAGGATCCATCCTCTGTGCAGCACGAACATTTGAACTAAACTTCACAGCCGTCCTCCAAAAGTCATTGATGTTTCAGTCTGGAACAAAGTGATGGACTGAACGACAGACGGTGATAAATGCTCATTAAGTTTGTTTACAGCCACATAATTTTACATATTTTAACTTTTTAATTCTACATATTTTAAGAAATATTATTGGAAATCAAGAAAAAGTAGAGCAGACGGTCTATCAGTAGCAATATATCATGTGACTTAAACGTCACACTGTAGAGATGAAAACACCAGATGTGTGTGGAGTGATGATGAGGAGGCTGAACCTTCCTCCACAGAGAAATGCACACAGCCTGTATTCAGAAACTGAGCCTTAAAACCAGCCGTCAGGACTTCTGGAACTTTGTGATGTCACAACAAAGCAGGCACCAAGCCCCGCCCACCTGGACCCACCATCCAAACCTTGCAGGATTTGATGATGACTAGGCTTGAACCTTCCTCACATTAACACATGAAACAAACAGATGGTCACATGGTTTCCATCTTTTAATGAGCTCATCTTTTTGCTTCGTCTTCTTCTGCACTGACTGAAGATTGAGTGGAAAGTCAAACACATTAAGTTCACTTGTAATAAAATGTGTTATAGAAATAAAATGAGCCGTTGCACTGATCAGAAAAAGAAAATTAAGCTGTTGGAAAAACATGAATATGAAAGTGAAACAGAAATAAACCAGAGTGTGGTGTTTTGTGTGTTTCATCTCAAACAATGTGGCTGCTCGTAAAACGCACACACGCACACACGCACGCACGCACGCACGCATGCACAGTTTACACAATCGATCACGTACTTTGTTGAATCTCTGAAGCTTTTCCAACATGAAAGAATTAAAGTGTAACACTACTTTTTCCATTGTCTCTGTGTGTGTGTGTATGTGTGTGTATGTGTGTGTGTGTGTGTGTCTGAACAGCTGGATAAACTCACTTATGTTTCCTGAGCGTTATTTTCAGAGCTGAGTCAGAGGGAGTTTCACAGTCTTGTGGTAAAAATGTGTGTTTGTGTGTGTAGTGTTGTGTAGTGTGTGTTGTGTGTAGTTATGTGTGCTTGCGTGTGTGTTTTCCTGCTCAGAGATTAAAGACAGTTTGCTTTGCTTCCTTCAATCAGATTTATTTATATTCACAGAGAGCTTCACAGACATGAATAAGAAAATATTAGAAATGTGACTTTAAAGTTCCTCCAGTGTGACGGTCTGTGTCCATGTGTAGTGTGATTATAGATCAGCTCTAGCTTCTATATTAATACTGTGAAAGTATCAAAGCCTCAGTCCACAGAGAAATGCACACAGCCTGTATTCAGAAACTGAGCCTTAAAACCAGCCGTCAGGACTTCTGGAACTTTGTGATGTCACAACAAAGCAGTCACCAAGCCCCGCCCACCTGGACCCACCATCCAAACCTTGCAGGATTTGGTTTCTCTGAGTGTTTTTACCTGAAATCTGCTTTATTTTTATTGGATCAGTCAGAAAACAGTCAGCCAATCAGAAGAGAGGCTCAGAGCCTCCTCTCTTCTGATTGGCTCACAGACCTGTTGTTACTAGAGCTCCAGAGAGAAGCCTGAGAGAGGAGATGTAAAACTACACTGAGATGGTTTTTGGTTCTTAAAACCACAAATATATCTTCTTATGGATCAACACTTCAAATAAAACACAGAAGAAGAAGAAAATATGAATTTATCATCAAACATTTAGTGAAGATACCCTGGATACCCTGAGTGATGACAGTATATGTTAAAACAAAACTGTCATCACAAATAAAGCATTAATTATTTATTAATTTTATTCAGCTGTTTATGGCTTTCCTCTCTCTTTAAACTTAATATTAGTTTAATACCACAAATAATAATAATAAGTTAATAAATTAATGTGAAAACAAGCCAAAATACTTTACTTTTAGATGTTTTGTTACAGAAAGTGTTTGAAACCCATGATCAAAACAGTCTATTCACATTCTGTCATTGTGTTACTTAAAGATGGAATTATAGTGAATATAAATGATGCCCCTTTTTGCTGGGGTCCTGAGGGTCCCTGGACCCCACTCTGAGAATCACTGCTTCACATCACTGCCTCAGTACAAAGGTAGTTAGTGCGGTTTAAGGTTGAGGCTTTACTTCAAGCAGAAGTTCGCCTCTGACAGAGGAAGCGTCAGGCGTGAGGTGATGAGACGATGAGTCGACAGGAAAAAGGATTTAACTTTAGTTCAGGTGCCTCTGACAAACTCAGATAAAACACGGCGCTGCGAGTCACTGTAAAGCTCCTGCTTCCTGTTTATCCTGCATATATGAAACTTCAACACACGGCTGCAGCTCTCTCTCTACATAGATATTTATATTTTTTCATGTCTGTGTCATATCAGGATCAGGATCCAGGCCGTTTTTTAATAGTTGAGTTTCAGCCTCGGAGCTCTGGGTACAGCAGCTGTCAGAGGTTTATTCTAGTTTAAGTGCAGTTATGTAATAAAAAATAAAAAAGATCAGACTGAAGCTCTTGGATCAGGAACAAACAGACATGGGCAGGAGATCTGTAGGGAACAAGTCATTGTGTTTGTACTGACGTCACACCACCATGAATCTGATCAACTGATTAACTGATCAAAAAGAATGATGAAGCTGATGAAAAAGAATCGCCAACTCTCTCTCATCATTTAAACTTCATATTTTAGTGTTTTGTGTATATTTTTATCTTATTTTTATTATTAGAAATGATCTGTTTTTGTGTTTTTTGATGTTGCTTGTCTGTCTCTTTTTCTGATGCACCAACTGATTTCGTTGTACGCAGAGTTCACAGTGACAATAAAGACTTTTTAATTCTAATTCTAAGATAATAATTGGTTACAGTCCTGACGGCTCCCTGTGTTTTAGCTGCAGCACTGAGACATGTTTCACATGCTTCACTCCCAAAATTCATCTTTTTTTAATATTTCAACATTGATATTCCACATATCAGAGAATGTGAGTTCATCTTCGTGCATAGAGGGAAAGAGGAAGTGCTGTCTACCTGTTTTCCTCGTGGTGCTCTCTGTTGTGTGTGAGGTGCAGATCCAGCAGCTGTAAACACCGGAGTGTGAATGTGAAATGACATTAAACCAACACATCGTCACGTCTCCACATTCCACTTTAACGCTGCCGGAAGATGCGGAGTAAAAATACTCATGTGGTCTTTAGAGGAGCTGATCCTGCCTCCACTTGCTCATTATTGTGCACTTATGTGTTTGAAGCACTGAGTGGAGAGTATTTGTTTTGTTTTGTTGCTTGGTTAAATTGTTTACTTTTTATTTAAAGGGGTAGTGTGCATCTTTGACACTGACGGCTCATTTTACGCCTCTGATGAAGTGAAAAGTGGCTGTCAAGTTGTTTTCCTTTAATGTAAAAGTGTCATATAAATAAAGTCACATGATTTCTGATGATAGTTGAGTGAGTGATGTGTGTGTTTGTGTTGCAGTCGTAACCAGCTGGGCTCTCTGCCGGCCTGTCTGTGTGGTCTTCCTCTGAGAGTCCTCAACGCCAGCAACAACAAGCTGGTGAGTCTGCCAGAGACCATCAGACAGCTGCACAGCCTCATGGAGCTGGTAAGACTGTTTACACTCTCTACCTGCTACAGTGTCACTGTTTGTCATGTTTGAGTTCCTATATACACGGGTGTGTAGTGTATGTTTTTGTTTGTATGTCTGCGTGTTAAATATGAATCCATTGTTGAAGGTGGAAGTAAATAAGTCGCCATTGCTGCTGGTGAACCAGTGCAGCAACACTTTCATTACTGAAAAGGTTTAAATTTAAATGCTTTTGTCATTTAAAATATGTAAAAAAAAAAAAAAAGTAAAGTAATTGAATATAATTTTCAGCAGATCTGTGCTGTTACCAGCTGCAACAAAAAAAGGAAATTAAAATCAACACTCTGCTTCATTAAATCACGTCTAGATCTCTTACTACCTGGGATGTTTACTGTCTTTATGTTTCCTGGTTTAAACTACACTTTGACAATTTCAAACATCTCTGCTTTCACTGGAAGTTCAAAGCAGCTATTTGTAAGTTTTGCTATTGCTACATAGCTAACGTTAGCATTAACAGCTGTTTGCTTACCGTTCCTTGCCGAGAGCTTCAGTCATCGTTGCGTTTACAGAACAAGAGGTTATAATACAATACGTCCCCTGAGCTGCTAATTCTTCAGGGCAGCCTGGTTGCTAAAGTGACTCGGTATCGGAAAGTGACCGGCTGGGGCTAGCTGGTTAGCATGCTAACTTCAGTAGAGAAAATGATAGAAATAGTAGCAAAACAAGAGGGTTTCTTTCCCCCTCTGGAAACAGCTGTTGGTGAGTAAAAGAATAAAGTTTGATGCTGAACTTGCAACAACTGATGAGTAAACAGTTGCTAATGCTAACATTAGCTATGTACCAATAGCAAAACTTACAAACAGCCCCTTTAGATTTGTTCATTTTGACCCATTTACTGAGTTTACAGGAAACAGACTCCAGAATCTGCTTCCAAGACAATAAAAAAAACGAAACCAGAAAATATTGCTCTGTATTTTTACAACCCAGTTTTCACCTTGATCTGTGCTCATGATTTATTTGTACTTAGATTTAAAAAAAAAAAAAAAAAAGAAGAGAAAAACGAGCCTTAAATGTAGCTCATATGGTTCAAATTGAATTTACCAACTGTTTTTCTTGACATATGTAATGATGATCACCAGATGGGGTTGGATAGAGAGGGACAACATACATTTGTCAACAACAGAGATTTTGCTGAAGTGTTTAAACCAGTGAATCTCTCTCTTTAATCTCTGGCTGTTGCAGATAATGCTGGAAATTATTGAGCAGAACTGGCAGGTTTGGATCAACAGGGTTTTCAGTGACCTTTTCAGATCCTTCAGCCAAAAACACTTTTATTTTTATTCTATTATTTTTTTCAATAAGGTGTTTCTCAGCTGAGCTTCCAACAATCTTCTATATCGTGATATATAGTGATATCCCAATATAAAACTACATACAGTATACTGTAATGGTATTATTCAAGCAATCAGGGAATATTTGAAAGCTTCCAACATATTGTTGTCAGACTCTGCAGACTGTGTCCTGTCAGGTAATACAGGCTCAAATATAATGAACTGCAACCACGAGCTGTGAAAGTCGTGACCATGTTGTTGTCGTGTTGTCGTCTTGCCCTCTGCAGGACATCAGCTGCAACGAGATCACGGCTCTTCCTCGTCACATCGGCAAACTCAAAGCTCTGCGAGAACTCAACGTACGCCGAAACCTTCTCTGCGTCCTGCCAGAAGGTGAGTGTGTGAGAGAAGTGCGTCGTTGTCTTGACATGGTGATTTTAGAAAGTTCTTACTCTTGTCCTAAAGGTTGGTGAGATTTGGGTAGAAAACCCTTGGTTTACTTTCTCTTAAGGTGGAATTCACATCAAACAAACCTTTATAATTGATGTTTTCTGATGATCCCTTCTTACCTTTGTATCTTACAGAAGAGAATTATGTACTTCAAGAGGTCAGTTTTAGACTCTGTTGTTTATTGAGTGTCGTTGTAAAGTCAGGTGTGGTTAGCGTCTGATTTGCGATCAAACACAGAGATGGAACAATCCGTCTAAATACATGATGCGGAGGTGTATTCATGACCACAGAGGCCTCTGTGAGTTCTGCCACACCCGTCCCAGTCCCCAAAAATATACTTAACCCTCAGTGTGACCTCCAGTCCCCAACGGTCTGCAATGAGTCAGTGACACACTGAACAACCACAGGCCTCTGGAGCTCATCTGTCTGTCTGCTGATGGGCTGAGGCTGGAGGGAGGCGGGCTGAGTCCTGGAGGGCTTCCAGTTCAAAACCACCGCACCAGCTGTAAAGAGAAAAAGAAATACTCTCTCTGGTCTCAGCATGTGACATCTCTTACTCCTCTTACTATCAACTGTTTTCATTATTGATTAACCTGCTGATTGTTTACAGTTACATCAGCAGGAAATAGTGACACATTTTCCAGAATCCAGTGTGATGTCTTCTGGTTCAGAAACACAAAGAAACGCAGAGGACTCGATGATTACTTGATAATTAAAATAGTTGCAGATGGATTTTCTGTTGATGAATTAATCAATTGATTAACTGATAATCACAGCTTTAAATTAGATCTTGAGATACGCATACGTTTTTCTCCTGCAGTTGGTTAAATTATTGGTGTTTTTCAAGTTAAATATTGAGAATCAAATGTTTTGTGAATATGAATCATCACTCTAAGTGAGGAAGCATTTTAAATCTGCACAGTAACCAGTTCTTTGTCGATGGCCCCCCTCAGTCTTGACTGATGAAGGTAGCTGCAGAAAACATATGAGGTTAAAGACAACGTAGACTGTTGTTTTGAAAACGAGGAACGTTAAACACTCCCACCTCCCGCACTGAGAAATCTGGAGGAGTTTGATCGGCATGAACCACCTTCCTGGTCTGAATCTGATGGAGTGATTTGTTGTTGGACTCCTGTGGTAGTCAGGGACCGTCCACAGTGAGCAGCGTGTTCGAGTGTTTACCTGGTGTGTGAACATATTAGGCCAAGGACTAATAAAAGCCCTGTAAGAATCATTATTCCAATCCTCATGAGTTTTGGGTAACGACTGAAAGAATGAGGTCTTGGATACAAGCAGATGAAATGAGCTTCCTCTGCAGGTTGGCTGGGCTCAACCCAGGAAACAGGGTGTGGAGCTCAGACTTCTGGAAGGAACTCAGAGCTGCTGCTCCTTCAAGTTGAAAGGAGTCAGTTGAGGCGGTTCAGGCGTCTGATCAGGATCCGTCCCCTGGACGCCTCCCTGTGGAGTTTGGGCCAAGCACATCCAACTGGCAGGAGATCCCAGAGCAGACCCAAACATGCTGCAGGGATTATCCTACTGAGTCTGAGAAGGCAGAGCGATCTTCCTGAAAGAGCTGGAAGACGTGGGTCAGGAAAAGATGTGCTTTGGCTTAACCTGCTGCCAATTGGACAGTGGATGGCCGGATGTTGTAGATGTATATCAGATCTTTGACTGTATCTGTTGAGGGAGCAAAACTGTCAAGTGAAAACCACCTGCTAGTGATTCGAATCAGGCGAAAGTCTTCTGCTCTCGCCTCTGGAGACTCTTTTTCTGCAACTTGTGGAATTGGACCTCGTTCAGAGTCTCTGTTGTGAAACTTGTGGTGACCAGAGGTTACCACTACCTGTCAAGCAGCACTCTGAGACCATGAAGAAGGTCCTGGAGAAAAGGTCATTGTGTAGTGCAAATCAAAAACCAAGTTCCATGACAATCAGCCCGTTGGATTTTCTTGCATCCAACTGAATGAAAGCGTGGCCCGCTGGAGGTCCTGAAGGAAAGGTGAAGATTATTCACCAACAAAGCCAGACTTTTGCTTGCGAGCTACCTTTGCATCAATCAGGCCGTTGGTCAAGTTGAACCTTCAGTCCGATCGATGCAGTTAACAAAAGGGGATCAACCAGAGTCATTAGAGATCATCCTAATTAATGTTTATACCAAATTACATAGTCACCTGGCTGGTTGTAGAAATATCTTGTTGTGTCTTCTCTTGGCATTGAAGCGAATTCACGCAGAGCCTTCTTGTAGCGCTCTGTCAGTAAGACTTAAAGGCTTCTTTCACGTCCTTCCTCCCTCTCTTCCTTCTCTCTCTAAAACAGAGAGAAAACATAAAACCTGCTCAGGAATTGAGAACGAGGCAGAAACATTACAACCGTTTCTTGTCAGTCTTCCAACATGGCGGTGGGTCTTCGATAAAACAGACTGCAGCTCGTGGTGTCGGGCCGTCTGATAGTCGAACAGAATGATGAACGACTGCAGACTGTTTTCTGAATGATTCATCCCCAGCTCGTCCAGCCTGTCGGATTTATTGCTGTGTTTTCCCAGCGTGGCATATGCTTGTCCCTCGCTATTATGAGCATCTCCTGGACGGATTGATGCGCTTTGATCTGGCTGAGCAGCTTGATGACACAGCGACAGGGAGGCTTGGAGCAGGCAGACTGGACGGCAGCCCTGACAAAGGGAGGGATGTTGTTTTTGATTTAATATTTGTTGAACTTGCGCAGACTCTCTATTCCAGCACCGGAGAGCCCCTGAGATAAGACCACCCTGACTGTTTTAGTGGTTTTTAAAAGGTCGGCCAAGCTCAGGGTGGCAGGAGTCTAATGTTAGAGATTCAAACTCAAATCTGATGATTGTATCTGCAGAGCTGATGGAAAAATGCTCCTCAAAGCCAGAAACATCACAACGGCAGCAAGATGCTTTAGTTACCGCAATGATAGCACAACACATGTGCATATAACAAGAATTCAGAGTAATACTGCGACGCTTCTCTGCCTCTAAAGACGGTTAATTGACATTATCTTATTCCTTAACAAGTCATTTGAAAATCCGCTAATATAGTTAGCATTAGCTTTCCAAAAACAGACTTTCCATTTGTGTAACAATATATAAACACTGTACAACAGCCAGCCTAGATAAACAGCTGTTTTACAAAACATCATCATAGCCAGTTTTAAATTAAACTGATCTCAGATAGGTTTTACATTTCTTTTTGAGACAGTTGAGATGGTTCGGCATCTGATTCGGAGGCTTCCTGCTTGGATCAGACCAGGTGATGGATCCAAAGTTTTCTCTCCTGATACCAGACTCAGATTCCTCCTCAACTCACCTGCCAACACTGAGCACAGATCTCATACATGTTTCAAATCTTCACTTTAAAGTCCACACACCTCCCTGTGTGGAAAACATGGACCAGTACCAGTCCAGTGTCGTGGACTTTTCCTCTAGCGCCATCATCAGGTCAACATTTTAATTTGTCCAGTACTTTGGTTTATGACAAAACGCTTGATCCACTGTAACCAGCTAAACAAAGCTTGTGGTCATAGTAAACATTACTACCACCATCACTGTAAACAGTGAGCACACTACGGTGGCTGCTTTACAACAGAGACGCTGCTTCTCTGGGACTTGAATTAAAACATTTGACCTCAGTGATCTCAGAAGGAGGGACCATGATTTTGTGTATGATATAATCTCAGATATATTTTTATCCAGTAACCAGAGGAATGCTCTCTGGTGTCGGCGCACCCTCCATCATGGCCGACATTATTGCCGCCTACAAGTGGTTTTAATTATGAAAGTCTGATGGGAAGAGTCTGTGACGATCGCTTGACGAGCTCCTCAGTGACGGTTTCTGTCCACAAACCCACACATCAGTCTGTTTGTCTTAGTGTTCACACACACACACACACACACACACACACACACACACACACACACACACACACACACACACACACACACACACACACACACACACACATCCAGTGATCCAGTGAAGTAGAGTTTATTTATAGAGAGCCTGAAACAGCCAGGAATTACATGGAAGGAGGGACATACACAGATTAAAGGAATAGTACACAGAAAAGTCTTTTTATAATCAAGTTTTATAATAAAATTTCTGATTAATCATTTAGTCTATAAAATGTGGAAAGATGGTAACAATGTCCATCACAAATTCCCAGAGTCAGGAGTGACATCTTCATCTGGTCCAAAGAAGTTTAAAGCTCCATATTTTCTTCTTCTTCTGTGTTTTATTTGAAGTGTTGATCCATAAACAAACACTAAAACACTCAGAGAAAACAAATCCTGCAAAGGTTTGGATGGTGGGTCCAGGTGGGCGGGGCTTGGTGACTGCTTTGTTGTGACATCACAAAGTTCCAGAAGTCCTGACGGCTGGTTTTAAGGCTCAGTTTCTGAATACAGGCTGTGTGCATTTCTCTGTGGACTGAGGCTTTGATACTTTCACAGTATTAATATAGAAGCTAGAGCTGATCTATAATCACACTACACATGGACACAGACCTTTACACTGGAGGAGCTTTATACTTCACTTTTGGTGGTTTTGGTTTTACCTGAGCTGCAGCCTGAGGTCACCTGTGAGGATGCACATGGATGTCATTAAATGACTCCCCAGAAACACGTGGTTACGTCCATGTTTCTCACATTTTACAGTCACAATATTTTCCTTTCTCACACATTTATTGTTTAACCTTCAGTACTGGGTCATTGATATCTGTCTGCAGTCTTTCTACACCGACTGAACTGTTCACTGCACCGAACATTAAACAGTCTCTGTTTATGAAGTCAAATCTCCAGCTGAGCGCAATTAGAGAGAGCTTTTATTTCCAGGTATTTGAGTTCTAATGAGGAATGAAGCTGAACATGAGCAGAGACACCGAAGCGCTCGGCTGCTAACAATTACACAAACCTCCTGAACATAACAACAACAGCCGATTGTTCTTCTGTGTGATGGGAAACATGTCGGCGGCGTCAGCCATGTGAATGTGTGTGTGTGTGTGTGTGGATGTCACACTGCAGATGTGTTCTGATAAGGCAACATTTATAAAGGGCTTATAAGCTGTACTTATTATGTATTGTATGTGTTTTTTTAACTGATTTGCTAAAACTTTACAGCTTAGGTATAAACCATTAGCAAGAATAAATTCTGTGCTGTGTCTCGGGAGTTACAGCGGGTCGTCCACTAGTCAGAAGGTCGGCGGTTCGATCCCCGGCTCCTCCTGTATGAATGTGTGAGTGAATGGGTGAATGTGGCAAGTACTTTAAAGCGCTTTGAGTGACAATTTAACATTTAACAGTTGAGAGTCTCCTCAGTAATACTGCCGTTATAAATGTTGGTGAAGCATTGATAAGAACTCAGGTTTTCGTGCTTGATAATGAGTCATCATCATCTGCTGTTAGAAATGTTAAATATCAGTTTGTTAATGAATACAGGTCCAGATGTGCTGCAGCTGTTTTCCAGAAGATGAGTGGTCACACGTCTCACTGATGAATGAAAGCCACACAAAGACAAAAGTGTTATGCTGGAGGAGGATTTATCACAACCTGGCAACGCAAACGTTCACTCCTCTTTCCCAACACCTCAAAGATGTTGTAGATAAAACACTCAGAGTCGTCCTGCTGGGAAAGTTTCCCATGAAGCCGAGCAGCAGACGGAGCATTTCCTCCTGGAAAGTGAATCATTGAATATATTTATAATTTATATTTGAATAGTTTTCAGTCTGTGTCTTTGAGCTCATCATCATTATATTCAGTGACAGTGGTGAGTGTCGGTGGACGGACAGATGATTCAGTCCTCAGACATCAGATGACTCTTTGGACGTGTTTCCACTTATCAGGAATTTATTTCCTTCTGGCAGCAAAACATGTTTCACAAGATGCAGAAACTCATGGAGGTTAAATGAGGCTTAGATTGACTCTGAAAGACTCACTGTGTGTGTGTGTGTGTGTGTGTGTGTGTGTGTGTGTGTGTGTGTGTGTGTGTGTGTGTGTCTCTCCTCTTGCAGACCTGGCTGACCTTCCTCTGGTGAAGTTCGACTTCTCCTGTAACAAGGTGTCCACCATCCCGGTGTGTTACAGGAAGATGAAACAGCTCCAGTCGCTCCAGTTAGAAAACAACCCACTGCAGAGTCCACCTGCACAGGTACACACACACCCACGCACGCATGCACGCACGCACGCACACGCACACACACGCACACACACTGGTGTCTGTTTCCGGCTGTAGTAAAACGTCTGTCCTTCACTTGGTCCTGATGTCTCCTCTCTTCCCTCTTCTCCCCCTCAGATCTGTATAAAGGGCAAAGTTCACATATTCAAGTATCTGAGCATCGAGGCGTGTCGCAGCGAGAAGATGCCCGACTCCCTCTACCTGCCCGTCATGGAGAGAATCAGCCTATCACGGCCCACCGCCGGCAGGTCAGTCACCGCGGAGACGTATATATGCATCTGTCTTCCTTCACCTGTGTCTGTAGTGGTATCACGGCGTTAGTTTGATCAGTGACACACAGAGTGACTCACTGTGCCTGTTGCCGTGGCGACATGATCGGTTCCTGGCTGTAAATTGTCTTAAATTCACCGTATCTGTCCCAGACTCGTCTTGGCTTCTATTCGCTCTCAGCTCCTCTCAGCTGAGGATCCAACATGGCCGCCAGAGGGCTGTTACATCACCGCAAAGCCGTTTGTTTAGTTTGGTTTTTAACGACATTAGCGCGTCTGCGGAGGGAGAGAAACTGTCTCTGCTGGAGCGGGAGGACGCTCTGTGATCTGAGGCTCCTCGCTCTCTCAGTCTGGAGCCAAATCCTCCATTAGTCAGCAGAAAGTGATCCGCTCTCTGGCTCCCCGCTGACAGCCTGTCCACTATCAGACGCTCGCTGCAGTCAGGCATTAAATCCCGGCGTCGGTGTGTGAGATATTATTTATGAGTGATGGATGAAAGCGGATGTGAGCGGATGGAAGGAATGAGGAGATAAATAAAGGAGGAGATGTGGACAGGGCGAAGGAGGGAGTCCAGCAGAGCGATCGCAGTGAGAGGTGGAGGGAGGCAGATAGAAAGAAAAAATGTCGGAGAAGAAAAGTGGGAACAATCCATGGAGAAAATCGTAGGAATGAGAGGAGGATGGAAGGAATGAAAAGAAGGAAAGAGAGACAGACAAAGGAAGTATCAATGACTCAGAAAGGAAGAATAAAGAAAGAGCGAAGGGAGTGAAAAGAAATCAGAGATGAGCGATGGAGCACGTCTGTTCTTCGGCTGAACGTGGAGCTGTACCTGCTCCCGAGGTGAAGGCAGAGAGAGCGAACAAGGAAACTAGGACACAGACCAAAGGAGGGAAGGAAGGAAGGAATGAAGGAAGTCGCACTGAAAGAAAAGAAGTGATGCTTTCAGGAGAGAAGGAGGCAGAAGAAAGAAAGAAAGACAGACAGACAGAAGCGGCTGCTGCGTTAGATTCTCCATCATTCAGCTGAAGTTGAGGCCGAGCTCTCAGAGGATGTTGAACTCTGTGACGTCCGCCCACATAAATCTCTCCCAGCACGTGGGCAGGAAGAATGGTTCCGCTTCTCCTGGAGAACAAACACTCGTCCTCTGCGCACACATTCTTCTTGCCTGCTGTCTTTCTCTGTGGTTTTCATTCTTTTTCCTCTTATCTTTGCTTGTTTATCTCTTCTTCTGACTTTATTCTTGTGTCTCTGTCTGTTTTCTTTCTTTCTTTTTTCCTCACTGTCTCTTCCTCTGTCTTCTTCTTCTCTTTGGTCGGTTATCTTCAGTCCGACTGTTATCGCAACATTGGACATGTGACTGTTTTATTTTACAAAGAGTGAAAGATGGATAACGAGACGGTCGGAGGAGGTGTAGTTGTTCTTCCTCTCCTCTCGCTCCAGAGGAAGATGAGAACAGATTAATGCTATTTTTAAAACTCCATTAAAGCAACGACCTTAAAAGAAAAAAAACAGAAGCTCAGTGAAGCTCTCTGCAGGTGTCCCGCCAAAATAAAACAACACAGGGATCTGAGTTACAGCTCATCTCATTGCTCTTCGTCACACCTGTATTATCTAGCATCTAAATGATGACTGTCCGTGTGCAATGAGCACTAACATGAAGTGCAGGTCAGGGGTCAGAGGTCACAGAGCCATCCATCCATCCCGTCCTTGTGAACACGATACATCAGCAGCAGCTAGAGGGAATTTCATCACATCTGGCTCAAACGTTCACTTGGACTCAAGGATGAACTCATTAGAATTTGGTGTTCAGAGGTCAAAGGTCAAGGTCACAGTGACTTCTCAAGACAAGTTTTTGGCCATTAAATCACTAATTATGACAAAATACACTTAAAACCTTTTAATCAAATTCCGTCTATATATACTGTACATGTTGTATATGAGTCAGACATGGGTGTGAACCTGACGGGTTGGCGGTTGGTCATGACACAGAGCTGACTGTTGTCAGTGTCGTTTATCATGAAGCAGCTGTGTGACTCAAGTAGAAACTCATTCAGTTCAACAGGAGGAGGAGAGGGAGCGATGTTCACCAGAGGTTAATTTAGTTCTAGCCCAGAAAATATCTGTGTGTGTGTGTGTGTGTGTGTGTGTGTGTGTGTGTGTGTGTGTGTGTGTGTGTGTGTGTGTGTGTGTGTGTGTGTGAGTGAGTGATTCCAGCTCACATTATTGTTCAGTGACTTCAGGGACTGCCTCAGAGCTGCGTTCACACTGCAGATAAAACTCGTCATAATGTTTTGTTTCTTCATACTTGATCTGATCTGAAATATTTAGACAGAGTTTGATATGAAAAAATTCCCTCTGTTACCTTGACAACAGTCTGACAACCAATCCCAACACAGAGACGGAGCTGTTTCTAACCAATCGTGTGACGGCTCTTCAGAAAGGAGCGTCCGCTCCTCGGCAGGTCGGATGAGCTGTCGATTCAGACGCTCTGTTCATCCAGTCACTCTCATTTTCAACTGTACGTTTCGTCTTCTGTAGTTGTAGTTATCCTCACGAGGTTCACCGAAGTGTAGCGTACAGGGGCTGTACACGACATGGATCGAACCAGACCCATCATGCATTGCGGCCTGTCTCGTGAAAGTGCTGCAGAGGAACAGGCTAGCTGCTAACGTTAGCGGCAGACTACGGTGCTGAATGGGGCAGTGCCGCGTCTCCTCTCAGCTCCGGTGCTGGATGTGATGATTCAGCTGAATGTGAGAGAGATGAATCTCTTTGTCTGTGTGGACATGTGATATCACAGAAGAAGATGAAGCATGGAAACATGAGTCTGATGAAGAGAACGTGAAGTTCATGGAGCTGCAGGGGTTCAGTGTGGGACAGAAGCAGAAGACTTTAACTCGACACATGAATAATGTGCATTTCAAAACTGTAGGAAAAATGTATTGAAGACAAAACATCAGTGATAATGTTGAAGGAGGAAAACACGTAAAGATGATAGAAGTACATGATGATAAAACACAGATCTGAGCAGGAAGTCAGGTTTAACTCAGCAGTGTGAACAGAGAGAGAGAGAGAGACTGTGCTCTCTCTCTCTCTCTCTCTCTCTCTCTCTCTCTCTCTTTCACTGTGGCTCACTTTCTCTTTAGCTCGTGCACGCACACACACACATACACCCTCCTCCTCCTGTGTGTGTGTCAGGTGTGTGACCTGTGTTGTGTGTGTGTGTGTGTGTGTGTGTGTGTGTGTGCAGTGTGGAGGACATGGAGCAGCAGAAGAAGCAGGACAGCGACTCAGGAGTCGGCAGCGACAACGGAGACAAGAGACTGTCTGCTACTGAGGTACTGACACTGTGTGTGTGTGTGTGTGTCTGTGTGTGTGTGTGTGTGTGTGTGTGTGTGTGACCTTTGTGTGTCCTTGTGCTTTTGTATAATTGTCTATATATGCCGTGTGTGTGTGTGTTGTATATTTCTGTCAGTGTTGAATCTTCTGGTTCAGTCTGTATTGAACATGTGTCGGTGTCACATCGTTATCAGGATCATTACTGATGGATTGTTTTAAAGCTGATCAGCTGTTTGTGCGAAGGAAACCGGACTTGTCCTTTAAACTGATGAATCTTTCGATGCGCTTCAGTATCGTGTGTCGTTTATTTGTAAAAGCCTCTGATTTTAATTTTACTATCCGTCGCTGATTTCTACAAAACTGTTATATTATTATTATTAACAGTGTATTTTGAACAGAACATGATTCTGTTATTTCTGATGTAAAATGATGCGACTGCAGCTGCAGAAACATCTGCAGAAGACGAGCGATTCTTCTTTTAATTTCACGTTTGTTCCACCTGAACAACAACCTCTTTAGGTCCTGAGGCTGAAACTGAATCCAACGTGTTTTATCTGCTGCTTTTAAATAAATGTGACTGAGCTGAAACGTTAAGAGAAACTTCAGTGACGGCGAATCTGATAATCATCAATTAATCATTTTTCAAACTAAAATTCTGAACATGTTTCATAGAGGACAAGGTGATTTAAACTTTTATTTTGACAAATTTATTCGATAAATGATTATAATTGATTATTTGCTAATTAGTTAATTGTTTCATATCTAATGCTTCCTGTTGTTTGTTTGTTTGTTTGTTTGTTTGTTTGTCGCAGCCGTCAGATGAAGACAGTCTGAGTCTCAACGTGCCGATGAGCCACATCACAGAGGAGGAGGGGATCAGTAAAGACGACTCCAGTGAACACATCAGCTCCCTGACAGGTAACACACACACATACACACACACACACACACACACACAACCACACACACACACACCACACACAACAACACAGAGCTGATAGTAGACAGGATGAATCACTGTGGAAGTGTGTGTATAGACAGTATGTACAGGACGAGTGTGTGTGTGGTGTGTGTGTGTGTGTGTGTGTGTGCTGTGTGTGATTCTATACTGTATAATTAATATCATTATGGTATAGTATATGGAATAGTTACTTTTTAATATGTTAGATATATATATATATATCTATATATATATAAAACTTTCAATAAGCTCCTGGTCACTTTAGGTTTAATAGACTTCATGGAAAGGAGCGCATGTCTGAAAGAGGCTGTATTGTAGCTTGCGTGTGTGTGTGTGTGTGTGTGTGTGTGTGTGTGTGTGTGTGTGTGGGCTGTTGAACTCCATTAGAAAAGCGCAGCAGCTCCCAAGACACGCAGTTTAAATAGACTTCAATCTGCCTCAATCAGGTCAGAGCTGATGGAGGGTCACATTCACTGAGCTGAGAGGAAGGAGGGAAGGAAGGAAGAAAGGAAGGAGGGAAGGAAGGAAGGGAGGAGGGAGGCATGTCTTGGTTATTTTCCCCCACAGTTTCTTCATCATGTAGGTGGACCCTGTCAGCTTCACACCAACATGTACACAAGAACAGACATTTACTGTGGCTTCAGACAGGAAGTGAGGTGATGAGTCTGTGTGTGAATGACGCAAGGTGAACACACAATAAAACTCCCAGCATGCCTGTTTCAGACTTTTGACGCCTCACGTTTCCTCCACTCCAGCAGACCCACACTGCGACTCGGTCCGGCTGATCGAGGAGAGTCCTACGGAGGCCCTGAAGGAGCAGTTCAGCTACAGAGACTCCACGCTCAGCACTCGCTTCGTCAACTACATCAAGGCAAGACGTCACGTGGTCTGAGTGTTTCAGTCCCTCATTAAACTTTGATGCAGTAAATGGTTGGAGTTTATGAATAATGCCTCAGTCAGAGCGAGGTTATGTAAAACCGCTCTGTGTTCTAATGGAGCCTGAACTGTCACTTTGTGTTGATGTGAGTTTAATTTACTGGACTGTCCCGTTATAGACGCTTACATCACACTGAGCCCGTGTCACCGTGGAGACTCAGCTGCGACCAAATAAGGACTAAACACAAAACAAAAGGACGACACAAAAAGCTGAGGAGCCTGTTGATGTGGATTCAGTCAGAGGAGCTGAATGAAACTCTCACAGCAGCAAAGAAACTGTCCTCAAAAAAACTCCCCTAAAAACACACCTTTACATACGAGTGACAGATTCCTCTCCCTCTCAAGAGGAAGTGGTGCGACGTTATTTAAGAGCCACAAACACAGATCACTGCTCGTCTCCTGATTCCTACTGAAAGACAACGTTTGTCTCTTGTAACTGTGACAACGGTCGTTCCTGAACCTTAACCCAGTGGTTATTATTGTGACCAGAGGTGTAGTGCTGTTTGTTGGCTGGATCTAAACAGCGGGGCCAGCCCTATAATCTGGAATGTGACTGACTGACTGAGGGATCATATTTCCACCTCTGGTCAGCCGAGTACTGCAGGGAAGAAGAAGAGCACTTCCAATACACTGAGCCTCGCCTCCATTACAGCAAATAAACTAGTTTTATTCCATGTATGATTATTACTAAATGAGGCAGAGGAATAAGTAGTGTTAAGACACACGGAGCAGAGAGAGCTTGCGGTGGGAGTTTCTGAGCACAGAAACATCATTTTTGGAAACGCACAATTGTATTTCTCCATTTGCTGTTATGCACAGTGAAATTATTACCCAAAATTACAGCGTCACTTTCAGTCTGATGTCCACATAAAGGGGAAGATGATCTGGATGAACTGTCGGTGTGTTTCCAGCCTGTCCAGTGTGTTCGTAATTAACACGATAGACAAAAACTACAAGATAAGAGAGACTGTTTATGTTTAGATGATCCTCACATGTGATGGATTCAGCTTCAAACAAAAAGAAAAGTGATGAAAGATGATGATGATTCTTCATCCGTCCATCTGAGAAACAAAGGGAGCGTTGAGGAAGGAGAGAATAGACTGAGGAGGGACAGACGTTATTACAGTGTGCTGATTGTTGTTTGTTGATGGAGGGACAGTGGTAATGTCTCTGAATTTTGGCCAATGGCTGAGCGAGTCTTTGGATCATGTGACAGCTGCAGCTGGTTCTGATGTGTGTGTGTGTGTGTGTGTGTGTGTGTGTGTGTGTGTGTGTGTGTGCAGGGTCGGACAGCAGCAGACTTTGACGAGCCCCTCAGGATAGAAGAAGACTCACACTGGCAAACAGAACAAATGTAAGTTCATCTCTCTGTTTATTTACTCAGGATTAATGTGTCACTTTATATTTTATATCAATCATTTATATTGATTTATTGATTGGAGTTGATAAGTAATGGGTTTTCAGATCAGAACATTCAGACAGTTGATTGATTTTAAACAAATGTGCCTACGTTGCCACTGTGATTGTAGGATATTTACTCTTTACTTGTGTCTGTGGGGTCTCAGGTCAAAGGTCAAAGGGGGCACAGAGCTCCACATTGACATGATCAACCAGCTGAAGGAGGCTGTGGAGCTGCTGCAGGACCCCAGCAGGTGAGAGGTTCAGGTGGAGCTGGGTGTTATTCACAATGTGCCAATTTTCACACTTGGTTAAAGCAGCTATTTGTTTAGTTTTGCTATCGCTACATAGCTAACGTTAGCATGAACAGCTGTTTACTCACCAGTCTAGAAGAAATGTTGAGAGTTCATCATCAAACTCCTTTACTCAACAACATCTGTCTCCAGAGGTGGAAAGAAACACCAATGTTAACTCTTGTTTCTATTACTTCTTTTCTTCTGCTGAAGTTAGCATGCTAACCAGCTAGCTCCGTCTTGTGACTTTGCGATTACAACTCACTGCAGCCTCCAGTCTGCCCTGAAGACGTAGCGCTGCTCAGAGGACGTATTACATATCATGTTCAGCATCAGAGGAAACGTACAAATAACTCCTTTAATGCACTAACAAACGTATAAGAAGTGAAATACACCGTGATAAAAGGATATTATGCAAAATAAAGACTGAGATCCTGAAACAGATTGTTTTGAATATAATAATGAGCCCTAACAAAGTTTTGCAGGATTTTTATTCTCTAGAAAATTCACTCAGAGCTCCAACAAAGATGCACATTCAGTCTCCAGCCTCTGCACCAATAACTCATCACCTGATTCTTAGCTCAAGGTCAAACTTTACAACAAATTTAATCACCATCAGTTAACAAGCTCTTCAGAAATCCTCCTGTTGAACAGACGAACACATGTGACCAGAACAAACTGAGCGGTTGATTTAACAACACAGTTTCCTCCTTGTGTGTCAGAGTGAGCGCGGAGCAGGACGACCTGTCTGGAGTCCAGCTCTACCCGGTGGAGATGGTCACAGTGGAGGAGTCACTCAAGTAAGAGTCTGTGTGTCAACATGTTGTGCATCAGATTAACAGTTCAGACACTGTTCTCAGTCGGTGCTTACACTATATTACACTTAGGGTAACCATAGCAACAGTACTGATGCTTCACACTACATCACCAGTTAAAGGTATATTATATAATGCGGAATTTGTCCGTTGGTGTTTGTAAACACACCATTCAAAGTTGGCCCCTCCTCGCTGAAGAGAGAGAGGGAGAGCGAGCTAGAGAGTGAATGAAGAAAGGGAGCGGTGTTAGCGAGAACACAGCAGTGAATCAGAGAAATCAGACGATAAACTAAATCCTCTTTCCTTCTTTTCTTTCTCTCTGCTCAGTGGGCAGGACAGTGATGACGGCGCCTCCACTCCAAAGGTACAGTGTGCAGAACTAACTTAACTCTTATTTTGAATGAACAGCAGAGAACAGCAGGGTGTCGTCAGCGTAGCGGAGAATAGTCGACACCAAATTGTAATGAAACAGTGACGAACAGTCTGTCAGAGATGATGCTTTTTATCTGGAGAGACTTCCAGTGAGTTTGGATTAAAGTTTGGTTTCTGGATCAAGAATTAAAATTTGTTAAAATGATAATAATACTAGTGTAGAGTGATGGAGTGTGACAGTATGTGATAGAAAGGTTCTGCTTAAAGAAAAAAAAAGAAGAGCTAAGAGGAACCCTGTTATTGATGATATGCAGGTGACGATCTGAGAAATGTTGTCAAACTGTTGTAAATGCTACTTTCTGGGAGTTTGTCATGTTTAGCACATCTGTGCTTTGAATGTTTACCAACATTTATTTAGTTTAAAAAAAAAAGGACACATTCCCGTTTTAGCAGATTCCTAATCATCCTCAAACATTTTCTGGGTCAACAGTCAACAAACAGATGTATTCAATATACAAAACATCTGCAGTGACTGCTGTTTGTTCCAGTGTCTTATTCAGATACGACCACTATGGGGCATCATGCACATAGTGGCTTTAAAGGTCCCATATCTTCTTCTTCTGTGTTTTATTTGAAGTGTTGATCCATAAGAAGATATATTTGTGGTTTTAAGAACCAAAAACCATCTCAGTGTAGTTTTACATCTCCTCTCTCAGGCTTCTCTCTGGAGCTCTAGTAACAACAGGTCGGTGAGCCAATCAGAAGAGAGGAGGCTCTGAGTCTCAGTTTCTGAATACAGGCTGTGTGCATTTCTCTGTGGACTGAGGCTTTGATACTTTCACAGTATTAATATAGAACCTAGAGCTGATCTATAATCACACATGGACAGAGACCTTTATACTATATGGGACCTTTAAATCTAGTAGCTGTAGTACAGTACATTTTAAAATATTTTGTGTCTTTATCCTTGGAAATATAACACAGAGCCTGTAAGTATATAAGTAATAGAGGATATTTAATTTAATAAAGTCGATTTAAGGCCTAAACGTGTGATGCGTTCTGTAGCAGCACCTGGAGGAAGGTGGCTATGAGTTCCAGAAGAAGAGACAGATGATTCTAGAGAAGGCCAGGTTTGAGGCCCAGCTTGCATGTCGGGAGTATGAGTGGCATATGTCCATCAAGGTAAACATACTGTAGCACCAAAGCCACTGGCTGTAGGTTCAGAGTGAATGCCCTCAGCTGTCATCAGTCGTGTCTCCCAGTGAACTCACAGTCTTCTACCTGTGTGTCTGTTTGCTGTGAGCAGAGCTTTCACATGTGTCACAGTCCGTCTGGCAGCATGTGAGCGGAGCGGGGAAATGTTTTCCTCGTCGCCATACGTCAGTCCAGATCTTTCACCGGTGACTCAAACTGTTTAGAGACGACCGATTGGCTTGAATGACGTCGGCTTTGATGAACCGGTGAACTGGCAGTTTCCCGTCTTGCATGTTGGTGTGTGAAGAGTTCATCTGCAGAAAAGAGGCTGATGTGTGATGTCGCTCTGTTTGGTTTGTGTGTGTCTTTGTGTCATAAGCAACCGGCGCTGTCTGACAATAAGAGTTCAGGTCGATGAACAGTATTGACTTAATGTCAGTTGTGTCTTGTATTGTTGTGTTACACCTCAAACCTCCTGGAAAACGATTTATATTCAGTCACAAGCTCCCATTAAAGGAATAGTTCAACCTTTGTCAGAAACAGTTGCAACATGAAACTCCCTCTAAAGCCACAAATTCTTGTTGTTTTCTGCTTCTATGCTGCAATGAATAATCAATCAACAGAATTTATTTAAAATCAGCAGTTATTTTTTAAGCAAATGGGGGGTTTGAACTGTTTGTCAGACTGATGTCACTCAGGTATTTTACAGGCATTTTTCACTATTTACTGTCATTTCATAATCAAAACAATCAATCAAGTAATTAAAAAAATATATATTTTAGCTGGTTAATCAACAATGAAAACTCTCATTAGAACTGCAAACGAGATACGATGTGTTAATTAGTGAGCTTCAGAGGTAGGCAACGTTTTATCTTTGGACAGAGCAAGGCTAGCTGTTTCCCTTTGTTTCCAGTCTTTATGCTAAGCTACGCTAATCACTTCAGCTCCAAACTGAGCTCCCAGGCGTGAAATAGATGTCGATCTTCTCGGTTAAAGTTTGGAAATAAAGCAAATGAGCGTCTGCGCTGCCAGTGAACGTCACAGCTTGGCGCCCTCAGACTGGAGCCGTCAGTGTTCGACAGAAACACGGAGAACAAGACGGCTCTGTCTGAAGAAGGTTCCCTCAGGTCGGTTTAACAACGCTCTGAACACACGGACAAACTGTTTATCAGACGGGATTAGAAACACAGACTCACCGAGTCCAGGATCTGACCGGGCCACAACACAATCAGCTGTTTAGGCTCATTGTTGTTGGTTTGGTTTGGGTCGCGTTCTGACTTTGTGGATGTGGATAATGAGATGTGAGCAGGGCCTTTACATTCATACGTGGTGTTGGGAGGTTTTCTCATTACCTCCCGTCCTGCCTGCGCCGTGATTAAATCTTAAAATGCAAATTAGGGACAGCTCATCAACAAACAACTCCTGCTGTAAAGAGATTCTGTGCAGCACCCTTAAATTGCTAAGGAGAGATTAAACCTGTCTGCCTCAAGTAAAAGACTGAAGGTGTTTTGTGCTGACTGTAAACAGAGCCAGACGATGACCAGTCTCATGATGCTGGTTTTCCAGAACCACCATTGTTAGGCTCAGTGAGGAGATCAATATGAGCCAGACCACTTCCAGACGTGGTCTCAACGATCCAGTATCCTGCTATTTCCAGTGTGTTCTGAGTTCTGAGTTTTTAAGAAACCCAGACACAGGTCAGATGTTGAGACCAGGTGGGAACCAGGTCGTGGTGACCGGTGGAAGACCTGAGAGGATTTCCCCTCCAGGATCATTATTAAACTGACTCTGATCACACAGACTTTGCAGAAATCTAGAGCACTTTAATTCTGGTAGATTGCAGGAGTCTCAGACAGAGTCCTGACCCCGGATCAGTCTGGTCTCTGTCTGTGCTGGTTATATAATCTGAATGATGGTTAAAGAGGGAGGAGGGAGAGTGGAGTCTTCTCTGAGCCAATTTGGCGGTTAACTGTAGGTCACTGAACTCCTGTTAAAACCTCATCACAGGAGTGTGTGTGTGTTTGTGTGTGGTTTATATCTGTGTGTCAGACTCCTCCCACGTGAAGCTCAGGACAGAAAGAATCCAGCATCTGTTCAGTTCATTATTCTGTCAGTGTTTATTAGTGAAATTGTCTAATTATCACGTCGTCTCCGCTTCTGTTGCCACAGCGAGACGACAGATCTCCAGCCAGCGGATCCCCGTCCTTCTCCAGCCCGCCGTTTGGACTCAAGCCCCGTTCAGGTGAGCTGGGTGTGGACTGAGTGGGGGGGTGGGTCGGGTACCTGGACTACCAGGTCGGTGTTTCTAAATAATGTAAAATGGTGAACATCACATCGAGCTGATGAGGTGTCCGATGCTCAAAATCTGTTGCGGGTTTTCATGTATCATGAGAGTGAAATGATGTGGGAGTGGAGCCGCAGGTCGTCGCTCTACCTGTTTTAAAATCTATATTTGTTCAAGTACAGACATGATTTTAATCAGATATACTGAAGCAACAGGAAACGATTGACTGTTTAAGAGTGAATGACTGATGTGAGAGCTGGAGTGAGAGTAGACGAAGGAAATCTAAAATCTTAAACCATCCAAAACCTACAAACTGTCTGAAAGGCAAGTGAAATTTTTTTTTGTTGGCAGGATCATTTTTTTCATGTGTATAAAGAACCCCAGAGAGACTGGGGAGGAAAAAGAAAGTCATAAAAAATAAATAATAAAGAAATGTTTTTTTTCTCAGGGGTTGTTTTCACAGATTAATAAACGTGAATCCAAACCAGCTTCATGTCTCTGCTCGTCCGCTGTGTTTGTAGAATACAAACCTCAGCCTCATGCTTTCCTAGAGCTAGCAGCCGTCCAGCGTTCGTTTTGCTAGCTGTTACCAGTGTGTGAAATGTTGCTAACCGCTAATGAAGCTAACATGATTGCTAACAGCATGTCGAGGTGACCTGTAATGTGAAATGCCACTAATCTGTATTTTGTTTCTGTGCTGTCGTGTGTTCTGTGTTGTCGTCTCGTGGTGTCCCCTGTTTTCACTCTTTCCTTTTTCCGATTTACTCGTTCTGTCACTTCTCCTCTCTCACACTCACTTGCTGCATGACTTTTATTGTGGAAATCATGATCTCACCTGCCTGCTGCGTCTCATTGATCTTCCTGTTTTTAACTCCCTGCCGCACGTGTTTCTGGACCTCTGTCCTGGTGGTGTCGGTGTTTTCGGGGTGTGTTTCTCGTGGAATGAACTTTGCCTTGCTGTACTTGATCCACCTTGGTGCCCCATCCCCCCTCCCCACCTTCCTCCACTACACACACTATGCCCCCCACTTCTGACCACTTCCACCACCTGGTTGTAGCCCCGCCCTCGCTGCCCTGCTCGCCCCCTCCTTCCTGTCTCGACCCCTCCCTCCTCTCACAGGCCTCGCCCTTCCGTAGAGATACCCCACGTAGCCATGACGATGGAGGCGTGCACAGCCGCGGTAGGTCCCCTACCTTTTTCCCACTAACTGGCCTTGGAGGCTGCAGAGCCAGGTTACACACACACACACACACACACACACACCTGGACTCAGGTGTCTGCTGACTCTCTCCAAACGTTTTTCTTTTCAGAGTAAAAGTCTGGGATTCTTTTAATCTCTCACTTATTGTGTTCTCGACCATCAGGTGGGAAGTTTGTCAGTTTTGTTTTTCTCTGTCTAACTTTTGTTTTCTTTGACGACCAGTTTGAACAGACAGTTGAATGAATCTTGGCACTTTGGGGCCACCGTACACTGATTCACATTCTTTCTGTTCATTGATGCTCTTGTGACTGTACGGTAAACATAAAGCTCATAAAGCTGCAGCTAGGAGACCGCTAGCTTAGCTTAGCTTAGCATAAAGAAACTGGGAACTTCTTGTTCTGAGGAACTTTGTGTGTCATGTCTGCTCTGACTGCGACTCTCTGGCTCCCCCTGTTGGTAACCATGGTGACAACATGACAAACAATCGTAGTTCATTCCTAACTTTCTTCTCGTTTCTCTCCTCGACTGCCGCTGTATGATTTCTGCCTCGGACCACATGGGAGGGTGTTTTAGATTACTGCTTGCCTGTGTGTGTGTGTGTGTGTGTGTGTGTGTCTGTGTGTGTGTGTGTGTGTGTGTGTGTGTGTGTGTGCGTGCGTGCGTGCGCGCATGTGTGTGTGGTAGCAGCACGATCAAAGAGGAGCTTCACCACACTGGGCTTTCATCTCCAGCTGTTCACGTGTGTGTGGTGGCTGCAGACGAGCAGACGCATGTGGTAGAAGTTAAATTCACTGCATGTGTGCGTTAACTGTCACACACACACACACACACACACACACAGACACTGAAGCTCAACAAAATGTGTGTAAGTCCTGGAAGAGTCTGAAATGATCTAAATTAACCAAACTTCCCTGTCACTTAATAACTCACGATCTTTAGCTGCAACATGAAAGAGATTTAATTTAGTCAGTGGTTGTGGATTTTTGTTTGTGGAACTTTCTGACTCTTCTACACTGTAAAATCTTAAACACAGATTTATTAAATCAGCCATTTGATCTAATATATATCTCAGCAATGACTCTAGTCTCAATGGCAGCATTCACCAGCAGCATCCTGACGTGTGTTTTCGTGGGTTGACTCACATCAGTGCATCAGGATGTACCAGAGTCTCATTCCTCATCATGGACACATGTTTTCAGTGTGCTGGCCACCGCGGCCGGAAGCTTCCTGTGTCTGCTGTGAGTTACAGGCGTCACGTGATGCGACGCGGCCGCTGTGTGTCACATGTTAGAAAGTCGTAATAATGTCACTGTCAGACGGAGACGACGGAGGCCGTACTGCGACTGTCTGATGTGTCTCCAGTTGTGTGTTTGTGTGTGAACGCAGCTTCTGCACTATGAATGAGTCTGTGTTTTTTTCTGTGGACATTTGTATATATATGTGTGTGTGTGTGTGTGTGTGTGTGTGTGTGTGTGTGTGTGTGTGTGTGTGTGTGTGTGTGTGTATTTTTAGCTCCTATATTTTAAGTGTTAGATAATGGTCCCTAAAGGAGTATCCCACTTCCACTGCAACAGAGTCCAATATTTCAGATGGATCACAGCTGTGTGTGTGTGTGTGTGTGTGTGTGTGTGCGCCTAGCTGTGTCTCAGTCAGTTGGTCCATAAAAGGCTCTGATATGTTGCAGGAAGTCAACAGTGACTCTGAGCTGTTTAACTGTTCACACACTCTCAGTAACGACTTCTACATGTCGACAAATCTCTAACGATCCTTCACAGACTCTCTCACTTCCCCCTCTCACCTCTATCAGTGTTTCAGGACCCTTTAAATCTGTCCTTCGTTTTCACTTCACTGTTTTCAATGATGTGTTCCCTCAGTTCGTATCAGGCTAGAAGTTAATTCCTTAAAGCTCATCCAGTGTAAAGGTCTCTGTCCATGTGTAGTGTGATTATAGATCAGCTCTAGCTTCTATATTAATACTGTGAAAGTATCAAAGCCTCAGTCCACAGAGAAATGCACACAGCCTGTATTCAGAAACTGAGCCTTAAAACCAGCCGTCAGGACTTCTGGAACTTTGTGATGTCACAACAAAGCAGTCACCAAGCCCCGCCCCACAAAGACATTGTTGCTCTGAAGCGTTGTGTGTTTCTACATGACTGGTATATGTGTGTGTGTGTGTGTGTGTGTGTGTGTGTGTGTGTGTGTGTGTGTGTGTGTGTGTGTGTGTGATAAGATAATGACTAATGGTGTATAATGGGTTCTGGCCTCAGGGAGAGTGACATCACCAGGAACTGACACGCTCACATCATCACTGCTCCTGACCTCATTAGCAACCAATCATTACCACGTGTGTGTGTGTTTGTGTGTTTTTAAGATTGTGTTTATTTGCATACCTGTTAGTGTGTAAAAGACTGCCTCTGCATGTCGGTGCATATTTTGTGTGTGTGTGTGTGTGTGTGTGTGAGCTTGTACTGCTGTCTCGTGCTGCTTCCTTGGTGCTCCAGAATGACTGTATGAGGGTAAAGCCCTGGTGTGAAGGTTGAGGTTGGACATTTAGTCGTGTGTAGTCTTGACCGGCTCCATTAGCATCAGAGCTTAATGAGTCTGAGTATTTCTCAGCCGGGAACCAGATCCAAACTGAAACTGGCAATCAGAACCATCAAACCATCAAACCATCAGTATTCCTGCTGAGACCTCCTCATGTTCTCCCAGACAGAGAGTTGTGACCTCAGAGGGAATTGAACCTGTGACCTTGGCGTTGGCAGCACTTTGCTCCGTCTGCAGATTTACACTCAAACTTGTCAACACTCTGCTCTGTGAGAAAAAGTCTGTTTCTCACACACACACACACACACACACACACACACACACACAGGTCATTTTCAGCCGGATCAGCTCTGTGATCAGAGATGTTATCTGTTTGCAGAGAGAGAGAGAGAGAGAGAGAGAGAGAGAGGTAAAGGCTCTGTGTCAGTGTATCGCTGTAGAATCAGCGGTAACCATGGTGACGAGGAGCAGGTTTACACTGGAAAAGGCTTAGATAGATAACAACGAGCTCATCCATCTGTATTATTATTGAATGGGAGAGGATTACTTTCTGTCTGCGTCAGTAAACATCAGCAGCAGCTGAAACAAAGTAGTTTCATGAGTTTGTACCGAAGAAAATTAACACATTGTTTTTGTACGAACAGGAAATGATCCAGTGATCAAACTGCTTTTTAATTTCACTGACTTTATTGATGGTAGTGCTGCTGTCGGTGTACTGCTTTTGGTCCAGACTCAGAACATCTTAACAACTTATCAGATGGGATGACCATGACATGTTGTAACGAGATTCATGGTCCTCAGAGGATCAATCCTACTTACTTTGGGAATCCTCAGACTTTCGCTCTAGCGCCACCCATGAGGTTGACGTCTTTGAATTTTAGTAAAATATTCTCAATGAGTATTTGATTTATTGCCATAAAATTTGATTTCAGACGTTCGTGTTCCCCTGAGGATGAACTCCAACAACCTTGCTGATCCTCTTTTTCATGAGGTCAAACTTTCATTGTCCAATTCTTTTGTTTTATGACCAAATACCTGCAAAACCAAAACCATTCCCATCAGCCTCAGCTGGACTTTGTGTTTACTGCTAATAAGCAAATGTTAGCATGCTAACACACTTAACTATGGTTGTGGCCGTTTTAAGCATTTGTACCTGCTAATCCTGCTTTTGGTTACAGTTACACAGTTACATGTTCACTGTTTGAATTAGAGTTAAAAAAAAAACCCTTTCCACATCCTGTTCAAACGACCCAATTTAATTAAAACAGACTGAAAAAATCGTTGGAAATGCACGTAGCGTTCTGCTTTGTCATTGTGCACATGTCACACCTACAGGCCAGACCTGCAGACCTGCTGTGTTCACCGCTGGAGTGATGATCTCGTGAAACACAGTCTGCGTTTGGTTCTGCGTGTGAAACACTGACCTGGTCTCTGTCCGTCACAGTGAGCCGGCTTTTTAAAAACAATGACCCGTCAGAGGAGGAGACACAGACACAAGGTGCTGCAGGCTCAAAGTGTCCAGATGGCAGAGAGACAGAAAGACATTTACAGAGAGGAGGAGAAGAAAAAGGATGAAGAGGGGGGGGGCGCAGCAGCTTGTGAAATGATTTGACCTAGAAGATAAAACTGTGGAGATAAAACTATTTGCCCTTCATTATCTCCCTCATCTCTCTCTCTCTCTCTCTCTCTCTCTCTCCTCTCTCTCTCTCTCTCTGTGCAGCAGAGGGACTGAACGTCACTCAGGATTATCTGGGGTCAAACAAACAAACTCATCACTGAGTCTTTATTCTTGTTGTTCTCAGGTTTTTCTCTTGTTCTGTAAATTCAGGACGCCTCCCTGAAAAAGTCTCATGAACTTCCTACCTGAACCTGAGGTGATGAGAAACACCTGCAGGTCCATGTCCTCACTCTCTCTCCTCCTGCTACCAAAAACACATTCCCTTCTGACCCAACTGTATCAAGCCATAAACACGATTTTATTTTGAACGGTTT